CTCGAGGTTCTCCTTGTACACCCCCTTCTTCACGTAGATCACGTACCGGCTCTTGCCGCCGTCGGGGGCCGCGTCCACCGCCTCCTTTATCGTCGTGTACTTGCCGCTCCCGTCTTTGGCCACCACCACGTCCGCCTGCACGGCGCCCGCGCCCGCGTCGAGGAGCGTGCGGTCTCTCGCCGTCAGCCACGACGGGAACCTGTCCACGGCCTCCGCGAGCACGTCCCGAGCGCCGCGGCCGGCGGCGCTGAGCACGGCGAGCGACGCGCTCGCGAGGGACTTGAGCGGCTCCAGGTGCGCCCCCACGGAGTCGCGCAGCGGCCCGTCGTCGAGGCCGTCCAGGCACGTCACGTGGTCGGTGAGCACGGCGCTGAGCCACGTCCTCGCGTCGTCGACGTCGACGTCGACGTCGGGCGCGCCCGCCGCGTCGGCGAGACGGTCGCGCGCGAGCCCCATCAGCTGGACGCAGTCCTCCAGGGCCGCGCGGTGCCTCGGGTCGCTGGCGCGCCGGCGCATGCCCGCCACCGCTTCCGCGGCCGCGTCATGCCGATCGAGAGACGTGGCAAGGATGGCGCGGAGGACGTGCGCCGGGCGGCTCGGGTGGGAGTGCGGGGACGCTAGGACGGCGTCGGCGACGATGGCTTGGCACGAGGCCGGGTCAGGGGAGCTCGCGCAGAGGTTCGTGGCCGTCGGGGAGAGTAGGAGGAAGGCGGCGCCCGCGCAGAGGCAGAGCACGGTGGCTAAAGAGAGCAGCGTGAACGATAGAAGTTTGCATGGGTAGGCGTTTCTGTGCGAGGGAGAAGAGAGGAGAGGCTCGTCTCTCTGACGCATGGTGTCCTATCCCTGTGCGACAAGTGAACCTGTTTACAACTACTGCTGCAACCTGTGATGTAGCGGCTCATGATGAGACTTAATTAGGTCATATTTATACTGCTGGGGACAGCGGTTGGTTTTGGGTTATACCTTATCGCGAACATAGTTAATTAGCGCTAGTACTTAGCACCGGTGCATGCATTAATTGTTCTCAACTGGAGTAGGAGTAGTTTTCTCTGGCGTCGCCTGATTCTGAATAGAGACTGGAGAGTAGTAGTCCGGTTCGATTTTTCGTTCAGCTCACTGAATGTATCGACCTGTCGGTAGATGGTACCCGTTCTGTTTTTCGTTCAGCCACGTGCAGTTCACTGTGCTGTCCCCTCGGTGGATGATACCCATATGCCATACGTTCCAGCACGTGGTGTTTTACTGCCAGACCATTGTACTATGAACGAACCAGACCATTGTACTATGAGCTAGTATCTTGATTAGTGCTGGTGTTGATGTATGGTTTTGATTCAGTTGCTATATACTCCATGGCCGTATGAGATAATAGGCATGTGTTCTTCCCCCATACGATTGGCATCGACGATCCTCACGAGTTAATCTCGCACTTTGCAAGTATCTTGTTGTGGAGCTTGGACATGGACAGTTTGATGTGGATCGATTTGAAGGTTTTATGCTTTTTTTTAGCTAGGGCTTGACGGTCCCCATTTCCATTACTAGAAATTAGAAATGATACTCCCTTCAGACGATCAAATGTAAGTTTACTGTCTTAAAACTAGAATAACTCTCACGGTCAAGGATCCTCTCACGTCGCCCCTCCAGGGGCGGCTCGGGAGGCGACGACCCGGCCGCCCCTCTCCCCCACCTCCCTTCTCCGCCTCACCGTCGCCTAAGCGGCTGCCGGCAAAGCCGCGCGGCCGCAACGACGGCGACGGCGGGGCTCTCCTCGTCTTCTTGTGCTCGGGCGGTCTAGGGAGCTGCCCAGAGCGGCAACGGCGGTGACCGCCAGATCCGCGCCGTTCCGGCCGGATCTGGTGGAGTGGTTGGCGGCGGGGACGGGCGATGGTGGTGGTCGAGGTGAGTTGCGGGTGGAGTTGTGGGTGATGGCGGCGGGGATGGCGACAGCAATAGGGCAGCGGTTGTGGAGGCCGCGGATCCAACGGTGGCCGGCGGTGGGCAGCGCATGCAGGCATCCTGCGGCTGCCACTAGCGTTCTCCGGCGCTCCTCTTGGTGTCGGCCAGCGTTGGTGGTGAGGAGGGCGGCCGGATCTGGCTCCTCTTGCCCAGATCCGCTGCGTCCTCGGGTGGGGACGGGGTGGATTGGAGTGAATATTGGGGTGGATCTCGTCTGTGCAGGTGGTGTGAATATTGCAGGTACTCTCGGTGTGCAGGTAACATTTGGTGGCTCCCGCCTTGGATGCTATGGTTGATGGGTGCTCCAAGGCAAAAGCCTTGCTCCGCTCTCGGTGCTAGCAACGGTAACCCCTTTGGGCGCCGTTCACCTTCTCGAAGGTGTTGCTACTGGAGCCCTCATTCAACTCAACTTCAAGAGATTTCTCCGGGTGAAAACCTAGATTCATTAGGATCAGACGATGTCGTTCCGTCAGCGTAACCTTCTTGAAAGCTTCGTTCTAGGAGTTTTTCTCCTGTTGGACGGCTGTACTTAGGTTCAATTTGTCAATGTCGGGGTTTTCGCCGGTTTTCTTTTAATTAACCGTGCTGTTATAAGATTTTTAAGTCTGATTTTCTTCTTCTATAGTGAATTGCAGGAGCACCCTGCCTGTCCCCTCGAGAAAAAAAGAAATTAGAAATGATTAGGAAGATAAAGAATTCGAACCAAACCAAAAACACGAGCTGTCATCACAGCAAAGAGCCTAGAAGCTGTCCATCGAGGGTAGAGAAAAAACAGAAAGCTGCTCTAGGCCTCCCAACTATACTAGCGAGTAGCGACGCAGCACAAAAACACAGTTTGGAGCTCCAGCTGACAGTCTCTCATCTACTCTAGGTGCCTTGTGCAGACCCTCCATCCAAACCTGGACCGAAGACCTCATTTGCTACTTGTCTTGTAAGTTTGGTCCCCAGCAGCAGTCTTCTTCGCCTTTTCTCCAGCTTCTGCAAATTAGCCTAATTTTCAGTCAAATGACAGGTAAGAAAAAATAGTTCAATAGGATCATAAGGCATCTTTTTCCAAAACATGCTTTGTTCCTGGCTTTCCAGTCTTCCAGAGTTTATGCAGATTTATAAAGGTGCTTTGGTGAAATTCTGGTTAGGAATTAGCCCGTTGTTTCTCCTTGGCTTGCATCTGCACGGAATCGACTAATTTTTCCTTGCAAGTCGATTTGAGGGGATCACCTCGATAGGATAGAGGATAAGCAATAATATCACGAATATGGGCGTAAGATCCCATCCTATGAGATTAAGGTTTCTACGAGGAGTTGTGTTGTCACTTGTCAGCCGAATGATTGTTCCTCAGTTTCGGAGGGCTAAATGTTAGACAATCACTGCATTCGTCCCAAAATGGTAACCTTTTTTAGATAGGTACAAATATTAATTAAGTAGGTAAAAATAATTAGATGAAATTTGTGATTGGTTGAGAAGAGAAAGTAGATGAAAAAATTAAATAAAAAATAATGTGATTGGTTGAGAGGAGGTAGTAGGTTTAGAAGTAATTTCATTCTAGGATAAATCATTGTGCTAAAATAGTTACATTTTTAGATGGAGGTAGTATTACATGTAGTCCTTCATCTTAAAATAAATCAACTATTGAAGTTAAAACCTTATTCTAAAATAAAATAATTCCTACAATATCTTCTTACCTACACTTAGTCCTAGAATAAAAAAAAATATTTCTTCATCACTTCATGCTACTTTCTTACCTTACCTTACCAACCCACTCATCGATACTACTTTCTTGAAGTGGGTAACAGGGTAAGTGATGTAAGTGGGCTTAAAAATTACCACATCAGATTTATATTATGGGGCGGAGGGAGTAGCATAAAAAATCTGTTTCTTTTTAGGAGAAAACCTTTACTGTGGAGGAAAAGTTATAGGTGCATGGTTATATCCGTGAGTCCAAATCTCAAAACGGAGAAAATTCCTTACGTGTACATGAGTTTTTCCTTCCTCTAAATTTTGTTTAGTTCCCTAAATGCCATTGAGTTCTCATTTTAATCATCTCCATATCCAATATCAGTTAGTTAACCATGGGTTAAACATGTTTTTTTTTAAAAAAAAACAACAACTATATTGCCTGTCCGGCCCTCAATTATACTTATGTGCTGAATTGTTGAGTAAAATAAAATTCTCAATGTGAAAAAAGATTCATTTGTGATAGAATTATTTCATCACAATTTAAAATTTAAAATTAATTTTATAAATAAATTTAAATTAAAATTGATGAAATTTTTAAAAGATTTTCACCAAAATTTAAACTCAAATAAAAATAATTTTGATTTTTAGTTTCTCGCTGAAACACTATAACTCTTGTATGGATTTGATCGTTTTTGAATTTGTTTGAAAATTTCAAATTTTGCTTTCCAAATTTGGCAGGAAATAATTTTATTCCATTTGATTTTTTTTTTCAAAAAGTTGATATCTATATTTTTAAAGTAGGTAGCACATAACTATGAGAAAGGGGCATTATAGTTATTTAGAAAAATCTAATGGTCCACTAACGAAATAGATAAGAAGAGATCAAAATGAAAACTCAAAGTACATGTAGAGTATGAAGCAAAATTTATAGGCATGAAAAGGGTTGAGCCAAAACTCACGTGCACATAAGTAATTTTCTATAAGGTTGTGTTTGGTTGAAGGGGTTGGATGGGTCGGGTGGGGTTGGACCCAATTTATAGGGTTTTCGTTTTTGGGATGGGTGAAATGGAATGGACATATTCCATTTAGATCCAGATCTAAATCAGCCAACAAAATCAAGCGGACCATCTCAACCAACATGGACGGGGCACACAACATGAGTCTCGCCGCTACTCCCAGTCGTCTGCTTGCCAGCCGGTCGCTACCCTTCAGTGTCGTCGGTTGGCACCGCTCCTCCTTTTTTTTAAAAGGTATACGATTTTAACCTTTGTCTATTTCTTTTTTTTAATTATAAAAGCATTATTTTCAGTCTTGACTCATATATTTGCCATGTGTTAAAAGACATTGTGATAGTACACATATTTCCTGTGTAACTGTAAAAAAATGGTTTTCTTGTCTAAATGGATGTAAACCGGTAGCCCATGCATGGAGATTTCAATCGTTCCACGGAATTACTTAACAATCAGGAGAAGGCACAACACAACACGGTCATCGCCCAACTTATTCTACGATGCTACATGAACGAAGGTAAAAGTACAGAGGATGAAAGCGAAACGGTAGAGACGGCCCGGAGAAGCTTCTCGCAATCTCGCATCCACATGGGCCCAAAGCATCCTAGCACCCTGTTCCTTTCGGCAGCCACACGCAACCTGCTGCTAGCCGTAGTTGAGCCGGAATATGTCATTCTGCACGAAGAAGCTTCCCTGCTCGTTGGGCACCAGCTGAAACATCTGGGATCAAATCATAACATAAACACGAGATCAGACCGTTTCCAAACTGAAAGTAAAAACAAGAGAAGGGAAATGAAGTCGTGTCGGTGTCAGCCAAGTGCTAACGGGTTCCAAGAATTGTTACCTGGCTGAACCTGAGCTGGTGCTCCTCGCCGGCGAGCTGGAGGTTGCCACTGACGAAGACGAGGATGCCTCCCGGGAAGGACGGCGTGGGTTGGCAGTCGACGGTGCAGACGGCGTGCCGGCATTGCTCGAAGGGCAGCCCCAACAGCTTCCGGCCGATCTCCTCGGCGCCGGCCACCATGTGTCCCTCGAAGGAGAGCATGGACGTCTGGCCGTAGAGCGCGGCGAGCGCGGCGCGGTTGGTGTCGAACGTCTGGTAGTAGTACTCCACGAAGGCCCTGGCCACCACGTCGCACTGATCGCTCCAGCCGCCGCCGCCGCCGCCGCTGGCGCCGTTGCTGCTGCCCTCCTTCCCATGCCCGTCCATTGCCCCTGTCTCCGCGCGCCGTCTGTGTCTAGCTATCCGTGGCTCTCGTGTCTCGTGCGGCAGAACAGACAGAGTACGAAACGCTCGCCGCGGGCGCGCCGGCTATTTGTATGCGCGCTGACGGATGGGACGAACGATTTGTATATGGGAGATCGAAGAGGTGTGTTGCTATGCTTTGCCGTTCTTTTTTCTGCATATTGGCGTAGGTCGCACGCCCATATCGTGTACGCGAGTGCGTGGAGGTGGAGCCACGAGAGCGCGGACGCGGAGATGGACGAAAAGCAGAGACGATTCAGCTGAACACGGAAAAAGAGAATGAGAAAAGTGGGAGGCAGGAGAAAAGCGGCAAAGGATGGATATGAATCTCTGCATTTCGGACTATGGGTGTGTCTAGTTCACGCTAAAATTGAAAGTTTAGTTGAAATTGGAATGATGTGACGAAAAAATTGAAAGTTTATGTGTGTAGGAAAGTTTTAATGTGATGGAAAAGTTGAAAGTTTAAAGAAAAAGTTTGGAACTAAACTCAGCCTATATTGCCTGATCACAGTAGCGGCATATATTATTTGATGGGAAGTTGCAAAGTTGCAATGCACATCATCTCAAACTCCAACCTTTCATCTGAAATACTGATCCTTTGCATTGCTGGCTGCTTCGGAAGATGCACGCAAAGAATCCACACGTGGACGTGGCCAATCCCAAATATTTGGCTGACAAGGCGAAAGATAATTCGGAAGCGCTTGCCCACTAGCCGCTTGGAGCGAGCCTTCGACCACCATACACCGAAAGCCGGCGGTTGCTTTCGGCCACGGAAAGGCGACCCGATCCGGCGCCGTCCTCGCGTGGTCGCACAGCGGAAACCGCAGCGCTTTCGCCGACCACACGAGGTGCCAATGGATCGCACCATTCTTTGCCGAGTCGCCGCAGACACAGCCCGCAGGAGTTTTTTTTGTTTTTAGATTTTTTTTTAATATTTACAGAAATAATCTATCGACAAAAAAAATTGCAGAAATAGCCCCTGCCGCCCTAATGGTGGGCGGCAAGCTGACGTGGCAGACGGTGGGTCGACCGCGCCGTCTGCCGCCGTCGGCCAAAATTGCGATTAGGCCCTTGCTGCCCTCTGTATGGGCGGCAAGGGCCTAATCACAATTTTGGCCGCCCATAAAGAGCTTGCGGCCGTACTTTTTCATCTGGGTCCCTTGCCGCCCCACCCAGATGAAAAAAGTACGGCCAAAAGATTTTTCTATGTTATGTTAATAATAAATAAAGAAGTATTTATTGGTAAAACTTGTTAATATTGTTATAAAAATGTATTGAAGTTGGTTGTTGCGCAATTTCATATGTTAAGTGAGGTATTATTTTGTACCTTATTCGACGTATTAGTACTCGGATAATTTATATAGGCCTATCGCAGTCTGGGTCGTAGAAACATTATATGGACTTAAACAAGGAGAATTATGTAACATGAAGAAATAGTAGTATAATTTGAACATGATACGATTATTTGCATTGCGGTTACATAGATGATATTAGATTCGAACTAGGAGGGAGGTAGTGCAATAGTTGAACACAACGACGATGTAGTAATGGGACAAGGAAGCATGACAGTAGAAATTTCAATATGCCAAGTTGTCCGATAATAGCTAACCCCTACGTGAGGATCCCTCTCCTCTCTCAAACCGCGCTTTAGTAACCCTGTATTGCTCTGGTAGTTCAAGCTGCTCTACTGGAAAGTGAAGCAAGTAAACAAAGAGAAGACTGCTCTACTGGCCCTGCCCCGCGCCGCGACCACGCTTGGTCCTCCGGGCCTGTGCTCGCACGTGGTCCTGGGAGTAGGTGAAACGATCCGGTGGCACAGCACGGGTAGCACGAGTGTCCCGCGAAGGAGTGGCCTGCGCCTGGTCCTGCGTCTGCACCGGCGGTGCGCCTCCCAGCTGTGAGGGGCCAATGACGTCCTCTGTCGAGCCTGAAGCAAAGTCGAAGTCAGTGATGTCGAAGAGCACGGTGGAAGACAACAAGCGGTCCGACGAGGTCCCAGCATGGTCCAGTGGTGGACCCTGACTCGACGTGCCGGCTGCCTGTGACGCTGACCCTGCAGCCTGGGAGAAGTGGGCGGCCTGCGTCATAGCGAACTGGGCAAAACCTACACATCGACAACGGGACCCTTGTAAGCTAAGACATAAAATGTATGTAAATTGATTGTCGAAGTAATGTTGTTTTTTTAAGTACCTGTGGGGGGCACAACAGAAGGCCTAGCCGAGGAAGGCGGGGTGCTGAACGGTGCATGAAACCCTGAAGCAATCGGCAAGTGAAACGGCTCACTTATATGTGTGAGGCATGTACAGAAATAGTAATAAAAATACTTACCTCCGTGCGGAGGGGGAGTCGGCCTAGGAACGTGCGCAGCTGGACGGGGACCAGTCGGTACGGGTGGCCGCTGTACAGCTGCGTCTGCCCGAGCAACGTCGTCGGCACGACAGGTGAGCACTCGGAGAAACGAGCGCATCGACTCCACCATCCGCGTGTACGTCGTCAGGTGCTCCTCTACGGGTACCGGAATCCCCGCGCCTAAACGTTGGATCGTCGTTGAACCGTCAACGACGACCCGGTTGATGTCGTCGACCTGCATGGTTAATTTGTTCGTAAATATTCGTAAAATTTGACGAAGAGAAAGACATGAAAACATAAAGGAATGGTGCGATGCAGGGTACTCACAGCACGAGCGAAGTCCTGGTCGCGGTGCCTGGCATAGAGGTCTCTAGTGCTCGCAACGTGGGGCTGCTGTTCCAAGGGAGCGAAGGTGACCCTAGTACGGGTGCGTGGCTGGTACCAGCGTAGGTAGGCCTGGTAAGACTCCTCAGTGTGTGGCTCTCCCTCGTAGTCCATGACCTCCTCGGTTGCGAGCAACCAGTCCTCAACAAAAGTCGCCAACTTGGCGGGCCAGTCGCCAGCTGAGTGCTGACCCTTGCGCGAGTACCTGCGAATTAATGTGTAATATTAGTGTGAAACGACAGATGTTACAAATTATTGTGAACAGGTAGATTTTAATGCAACAACGGAAAGCGTAGTGCAAGATCTTACCGGTGAACAGCAGCTGGGACGGTGGTCGGAAACGGTACTGGAAAGGGCTGACGGAAGCCGAACTGCCGCATCACGCGGAAAGGGGCGTGAGGCTCAACGCAGATGTCGAAGACCATCGGAACCATAGTCATCCAGTACGCCTGGTCCCTGGTGCAGAGTGTGGACAGACCCAACGGCGCACGAGCCTGGGTAGCCGCGGCACTGTAGGGCTCCCACACGACGTCAGTCGGCAGAAGGCGGTCGAACTCCATAACAAACTCAGGATACGACCGCCTAACCTGGACGTGAGCCCATCGGCGCTGCAATACGAGACGATCGATGTGATGTACAATGAACTTAGCAATTAACTTAACAATACGATAAGATCGATGCAACGTACCTGACGACGGCACCACAGAGTACCCATCGTAGGGTAGTCGACCTCTGGTCGCTCCTCGTACAGTGACTCCTCGTACGTGTGCTGGTCCACCTCAGGGCGGCCGATCGCAATCCTCTCAGCTGCCCAGATAGAAAGAAAGAGAGGGCACCAACCAAAGGTCGCGCTGGGATCCGTCTTCGTGCAAGACTCACAAAGTGCACGGTACAGAGCCGCCAACAACGCGGAACCCCAGCTCCACTGAGGCACCTCGCCTACCGCGACGTCGGCGATGCTCCTGGCGTAGTGCACGAGTCCCTTGTCGACCGCGTGCCCGTGACCGCCACAGAACATCACCCAGCCAAAAAGCTAGAGCAAGTACGCCTCCAAACATCGGCTGTAGGAGTACTCGTCGGCCTCCGCCTGTAGTTGCTCAACCTGCAAGCAGTCGATAAAATGTTAGGCACCTTAACTGCGGACTAAATATGTAATACGATTGTCATTTCGGTACAAAAACACTCACGGTGAACTGAAGCAGCCACCTCTTCGTAGGTCCGGTGTTGCGGTGGTGTGCCAACGGCTCGAGCGGGAGGTGCGGTGCGCGCTGTACTAGTGCGAAACGTGCCGTCAGATCGTCCTGCCAGTCCACAGCCATGGTCACTGGCCCAACAGCGTCTCCCGCGAGCGGTAGCCCCAACAAGTACGATACGTCCTGTAGGGTAGGGGCTACCTCACCGCACGGCAAGTGAAAAGTGTGCGTCTCTGGCCTCCATCGATCGACCAAAGCTGCTAGGAGGGACCTGTCCACAGTCCATCGTCTGGCCGGGTCCGCGTCGCCGGCCGCAGCCTCCACCAGCCGACACATCGGTAGGAGGCCGGCCTCACGTAGCCTGCAATAACAAATTAATATGTCATTATAAAAAATATTACAGTGCAACTAACTTATAGTAAAACACTGTTCGTACCTCTCGACGAAGGAGTCGTGAACCGTGAGTAGCTCACCGCACGTCCGTGCCCGGAACGTCCCAAGCTGAGCCCCCTGCACCGCAGTAAGGTGAGACTGGTGTCGGTGATCTATCGCCGGGTCCAACAACTGAGGTGTATCCTGACGTGCCATCTCTGAAAAATATAGTGTTTCGTGTTAGAACAATTCAAAAAATAGTAATGTAAAACAAAAGATAACTTGCAAAATTATGAAATAGTAATAAAATCATGAGATTAATTATGTACAACAAGAGTACAGGCTATTTAAATATAGCAAACGTTACTAATGGTACATAACGATGACGTGCAATTTAACATATATGTAGAGTTCAATAATATAACATAACATTACCAGGTAGAAAACATGTATGCTTGGTAACGACTGACACTGTCCAATAATCCTTCCATTTCCCCTTATACGTGTGCACTCTCCAGGGACAACCATCTTTTTCCTTAACACACCGAACTTCATATTGCGACCGGTTCGACTTGGCAACCCTAAACTCTCTATGAAGTGACACTGCAAAATGTTTTACCGCCTCCTTCATATCTTCTGCTCTACTATAAATCGCTCCCTGAATAACCTCATTTTCTTTGTACTCCCATCTCACACTATCCTCTTCAGAGACGATTAGCCCAGAAAAATCCTCACTAGCCCATTCTGCTGGATTAATATCCGTCTCATCATCTGACGAATCACCTTCCTCTACACGCTCGTTGTCAGAATCCTCCCTCTCCATTTCATCCACAATAGCACCGACAGTCTCC